ATATTGGGAAAAGCCTAAGGCGTTCTTGATGGTGTGAAGGTAGGCATGTGGTTCTTCTCACATCTCACATCGATGGGTTAATAATGTGTCTGAAATAGCCAAAATGTTTGACCCACCAGCTGATTCAATTATGGTGAAGATTATAATTATCTGACATTTTAAATTAAGTTATAAGTAACATCTGTCAACTTCAATGGGATGGATCTTCCATCTTTGATATCATTTAATACCTAATTCTGTTCTCAACTACAGGGCCTTCTTTCTCTTTCCATCTTTCTCTTCCTGAACACACTGAGGAACTTGTTATGATGCCAGATACAAGGCAGATGAGAACACCATGGTGATGTCTGTAATATGAAGCCAATTGCACTAAGAAACTGGGTATTTCTGAGCCTCTTTTCCCATCCTTAGAAATATATCTGAGTTATGTTTTTAATGACCATAGTAACTACTGAATGTAGAAATTGATCTTCACAAGAAGGAAAGGATTTAATTGTCTTCCCAAGACTAGGAAGTGGCAACTACAGGTACAGACTTAGATTTCTTGATTCTGGATCCTTCATACCACCCATTGTAGTCATCATGAAATCTGACTACAAGATGCAGAACACATTTAATAAATGATGATATATAGTCAACTCTCATATTGACAGCACTGTATTCTCAAATTAAACTTCTTGTGACTACCCAAATCAATACCTGTGTTATATTTGTTCAGACATAGTCTTGAATGTAGATAATAACTTGGTCTTCTCATGAATATGTTCTCAAGAGAAGTTTAGACACAGGAACACTCTGCCATCTATTTCTTGTTTGCCACTCTTGTTTTTTCTGTTGTTGTTCTTGTTATTTTGCTTTTTTTGCATTACTGGGATCAAGCACAGGGTTTTGTACATGTTTGGTAAGTATTCTACCACTACCATACCTTTAGCCATCACCATTGTTCCTTTATGGTATGTTTATTGGTTTGTTATTCATCACTACTGTCTCTTGGTAATTTTGGCATTTAAAATGTCCCAGGCATAGATCTTAAAAGCTTTCTAGGGTTTCTAAAAACAGGCTCTGATGTCCCATATAGATTACCTTCATCCAGGCTCAATTTACGGTGCGGTTGGCCTTAAGTTCAATGTAAATGAACCAAAAGCACATCATACACGAGAAACACATATAAAACAAGGTTTTTCATGGTTCTGTTGATGAAAATCTTGTGAGCAGAGGGTCATAGGACCCTCCAGAGAAATGCTTTTGTACTTGTGGTGACATTATAAAATGAGGCTACCTCAGACCATGAGAACCAACTGGACTTGAGCTCCTATTATTTTGTACTCCTTAATTAATGCATTAGATGTCAATATGTTTTAACAAAATGTCTACTTATTGAAGGACATACAACATCAGTGGAGGTAGTCGTGTCCTCAGGGGACAAAAATGTTTCTTGAAAGGAGAGGTATACACTTCCCCATTTAGTAGCTGTCCGTCACAACCATGATGCTGAGCTGGTATTGATGGGGATAATTAGCAAATGGAGAAATCTAGAATTTTCTTGGAGGTGCAATAAAGAGATTCAGAAGCACAGTTGAGAGCAGAGTGCATATTTAATATCTAGAGTATGAGGGTGCCCCACACAACCCAGGTGCTGGCAGCCAGTTCCATATGGAACCCTTAATAAGATGGTTGCTTCACCTTTATTACCTTTCTTCAATTAGGAGCACAGGGAGGGTACACACACATTTCCATCTGTGACTGAGAATTTCCTCAGGCATGTATTATCTTTGGACTACTTTCTCTGTCAGGGCAATTTAAAAATGAATGCTTCCAACACGAAGCAATGGCTATTTAAGGTGATAGATTCTCTGAGTGTACAGATCTAATCATTGCTCATTGCATGCAAGTATTCATACAACATATTAGTCCATTGACATGGATAAGTAAGTCTCACTTACTGTATGCCGTAGAACTTGAAAACATGACATCTTGGCTTCACAGTAGAGGAACCCTGTTGTAAGTCTTCATCTCTTAAGGGAGGGCTCTTTAGCAATGATTTTGGACTGATAATGTAGAAAAACAAAAACCTGAAGATGTGAACAATGAAATGAGACCAAAGGAAGCTCTGATGATGGTTTGCTTTGTTGTAAGAGAGAAGTCTCTGTCTGTTGTGTTAGCCACCATTTTTATTCACAGCACTTGGGAGGCAGAGGGAGGCACATCTCTGTGATTTCATGGCCAGCCTGATCTACATAGGCAAGTTCCAGACAAAACTACACAATAAGACCCTGTCTGAAAAAAAAAATAAAGGAATCCATGAGTTCATTGCAAGGAGTAATGGATAGGTGGAGTTAATTCTCACACATCCCAGAGCAGCAGAGACTGCTTCAATTCAGGTACACATTGGCTTTAGCAGCCAATGTTTATTTAATATTTGAAATGCAAGTTAATCTCAGCACAAACAGCATTACATATTATATTAAATTAATGCTGTTACACTTTAATATTATGTGTTTTATTATTTTGTGCTAAATTTGTTATTTTGTTTTACTTTTCTTGTTGAATCAGAGGTAAAACATATGGAATTTATTTTAAGATTTTTCCATTTAAACATCACTAAGCAATAACATAATTAAAATAATTTAAGTCTATGTATTATGTGGTATACAATAACATTTTTGCCCTGTTAAAAGGAGTGTTTATGTTACTTGGCTTTGAAGAATAATCTAATGGACTCAGAGTCATTAACAATTTGAGCCAGCAGGAACCTTTCAGTCTAAGCTCCTCCCCTACAAGATATAGTTGCTGAACTTGCAACACAGAAGGAAGCCAGGGGGAGTGAATGTCCAAGAGTACAAAGCAAGGGGTATATACTCTGGGCTCAGGGACAAAGTTCACATACTTCTAAGTAGATGATTGGATCACCATATCAGTTTGCCTCTAGAGGCACCAGTCCAAAAGCTTGGTTAGATGCAAACAAACACAGTTACTAAAATATCTCACTTAATGTCAAGTAAAGTGATTGTGAAATGCCAATCACTAAATAGCAGACTGTTCCAGTGAGCTGGGGTAGTGGTAATGGGAAACATCCATTTTGTCTTGCCCAGGTGATATTACCCATGAACTTGGATTTTTCCATGACTTTCAACATAGCAGACAGAATGCTGAAACTCTTACAGTTTAATACTTTATGTTATTAAACTCTGTGAAATTAGATTATGAGCTTACTCAATAAAATTGGCCTAGTCCATATGGGCTACCATGATGAAATACCCAAGACTGAGTGGTTTATATGCAATAAACGTATTCCTTACAGTTTAAAAACTGAGAGTTTAGGGTTGGGATGCCTGCACAGTTGGTTCTTGCTAAGGGCATGCTCCCTGATTCACATACTGCTGTTCTGTTGTACCCTTTGTGGCAGAAGAAGGCAGGGAGCTTTTTCACAAGGACACAGACCTCATGATCCAAGTCTTCCCAATCCTTTCATCTCTAAATGCTGTTTCATTGGGGGTGAAGATTTCAACAATTTGGTAGAAAGTAAATATCCAATGCCCTGAATATACCATTGGGTAGACTATTAGAAAACATTATTTCTCGGTGCACTGTAAATGTTTGATCAAAACTTGTGGAATTAAACAATTGCATCTTTAATATAGCTAGTGTATAAACAATTGTATCTTTAATATAGTTCTGTTGCTATGAAAATCACCGTGACATAAAAGAATATAACCCAAGTGAGGTGCAATTATTATTTCACATTTGGTTTAGGATTCAGGGTATGCATTAGCTGAGTCCTTTGCATAGGCTGGTACAAAGTTGCAAACAAACTATTAGCCAGAATCATGCTCTTGTGGGTTTCGGGGATCTTCTCATTTCAGTTGATGTTGGTCAAATCCCTTCCATTGCAATGTATGATAAGCCTAGCCCTGACCCTAAGGTTTACTGCTAGAGATTAAAGGAGAGTAGGAGGTGCCTTTTCCTCTAGACCCTCTCAAAGCACTTACCTTGTTCGGTCAGGTCTACACAAGATAGTCTTCCTTTTGCTTAATTAAAGACACTAACTTAGAGACTTTACTCCCATTGCCACCTCAGCTTTGGCGTATTGTGACAAATAAAGTTACAGTGCTACAGGTAATTTAAATTACAGGGAGGTGAGGGGAATATTGGGTATCAGCAAGGAAATGGATAACTTGGAGCATTTTGAAATCTTCCAACATAGCTCTTGGGTCCTCCTCTGTGTGGAAACTCAGCCCTGGACTTGGTTAAAATCAGGTAGACCAGATATCTCAACTGAAGTGTGACTGGAATTGAAGCTCTAAGATTCTTTCTCATAGGGGACTATTGTGTCTATTGTGAAGACATTTAGTAGCAACTCTGGCCAGTGTCCTCTAAGTGCCAGGAGCACCTCTGTCCTGCCTATGGCAACCAAAAATTATGCCAAGCATTCAATGCATCCTCTCAAATAGAAAACACCTCCTGAATAGAGGACCACTCTTGGTCCAAAAACCCATGCACTTGGTTTTCTGTTTTTTTTTCCCAGAAAGACATATTAAACTATGAATGTTTCTTAATGTGTTCTTAAAATGATAAAGCCACATGGAGCCAGAAAGCTCTGACTCCTCTGGTAATCCTTTATTCTGAGATTTCTTTATTTCCAGAGCTATGAAGTGCAAAGTGTATAGTGGTGTTAATGCAGTGGAGGTATCTCCCACATGTAGTTACTCACATGTATTCCAAGACCAGTTTATATTAGCACATTTGCCATGTTTTATCATTCTGTCTGAGTTCATAATTAGGCCCTATTATAGGAGGGCTTTAGTTCTGCTGTAATGTGGTCAGGTGTTTCCTCAAAGATATTTAATACATAAGTCAAAACCTTTTAGTAAATTCCACCTTTTGTGTTAGAGCCACTTACTTGGAAATGAGTGGCTTAATGTGTGACTGAGTAAAAGGCACGGTCCAGTTTTGAGATTACAAAACTCAGAAGCTACTTTTTTCTTCTTGTTTTGTTCTAGGCAAAGGCAGCTCAAGCATCTCATCCGACGTGAGTTCAAGTACGGATCACACGCCAACCAAAGCCCAGAAGAATGTGGCTACCAGCGAAGGTAGGCATCTCTGGTCTTCATAGCTAATCTTTCCTTTACAGAGATGACTGTTTGAAAGATGAAGGGAACGTGGGGGATTTACTTGTAGTCTACTGCATGAGAGTGATGAGAGACCTTGTGGGTTCAAGATACTTTTATTCAGATAAATACCAGCCAAAAGCAAGCCAGAGTGCCAGGGGCAGCCGAGCAGCGAGGCCAGGGAGAAGGGGAAGGAGAAGACGGGGCTTTCATGTGCTCTGTGGTCCCTTAAGAGCCCATGCCTTGTCATCCTGACCTCGCCTTGACCACACCTTAAAGGCGTGGACAGGCACACCTGTAGCCAGCCTCTAACAGGTGTGGCTTACTGTCCCCTACACGAGAGTCTATCAGGTTATTAAAAAGGACTAGGCAATGACCTGCCCAGCTTCAGTTTGGCCACACTGTTGGTACTTCTACTGAAGTTGATTTGGTGGGATGTAAGTGTCTTAATTTTAAGACATATGGTATTATTTTTGTGAAAATGTGATAGGCTGACTCATGAGAAGCCATTATGACATCATATACCAATTTTCCTGTATGGCAAATAGTATAAGAGCTTTTGGTACAAGTGGAAAGTTCCTGCAAGGATGTGCAAAATAGTTGTTCCTTAAAATCAGGATGATACTGACAAGCAGGCCACATGTGTAGGACATGAATTAATCACTGAAGTTGGGCATATGCAAATTAGCTTTGTTTCATTATTTAAATAATGTGTTAGAAGACATCACCATTAAACATGAACACTTGTCCACCCACCATGGTTGATAAAGGATTCCACAGCTGTTTCTACAGAAGTAGATGCTGGAATTCAGTTGCTTCCCAGGAAACTTGAGCTATTACTTAATTGAGTGAAGAATTATTTCTTTGATATTTAATAGAAAGTTGACCCAATTATTTTGTTTTAATGTGAAACACAATGGATTGTTTCCTCTGTGAATAAGTGTTCCCTCTAGATTAATTATCCAACAAAGGTCATTGTTTTTGTGTGTGCCATTTATGCTGGGAGGCTTTTTAAATAGGCTCAGCTTATTTGCATATATTATGCATTCTGATTTCTCAAATGCATGGGGTGCTAAGGAAGCTTGTGTCCCGTTTTTGTTTTGGGTGCTTAGTGTCTGCTCCTGCTAATATCAGGAGTCATGCTTCCAGGCTGACGTTGGCATTTTAAGTTATGTTCCGTTTATCTGTATTGGTATCTATGTATTGATGATGGTTCGTATTCCTCCACTGGTTATTCTTCTCTTTCCATACATTTTGTCTGGTTTTAGGGACCACTGAACGACCTCAGGGCTCATTATCCTCAGGCCAGTGTGTAGGTGGCTTGGATGGCTGGATGATATTCATTTGTGTTTAGACCCTTGCATTGTTTCTTGTGTGTCAGCAGCTCCTAAGCCAGAAGAATTGGTGTGTTCTACTTAGCACAGCAAAGGGCCAGGTAGCAATCCAATTTTAATTTTCTGCTTGCTAAGTTAAATGGGAGCATTTGATCATTCCTGAGATTCAGTGGAGGCAATGAACAACTCTCACTGTGTTTGGTTAGAGCCACTTGCTTTTGGCAGAGTGAAAATAACTTCCATTTATGCAGAGTGGCTCTCTTCAGCTAGAAATTCCTTTTATGAGAGTCTCAGTTCTTCCAACTAGTATGTGGCAGTTAATCTTACCATATCTGTGTGTCTATGGAAATGGAGAAACTTAAATAATCTTTGTTTGCCTGTTTATGTTTTCTTATTATTCTTTTTTCTCTTTAAGCATATAAAATATTGAACCATAGATGCTTTGTTGAAAGACTTGGGAAAAGAGATTCTAAGATTTTCTGCTTGTAAAAGTGTTGCTCTCTGTGTTTAGGAATAAAATAAAGAAAACCTTTCTTTTGTTTTTTTTTTTCTGCTGGGAAGAGGCAGTGGTTCCTATACCAAGGTTTTACCCATTTTGTCATGGTTGTATTTTTCACATTATGAAAATGGTACCAGAGGGAAAAGACTAAGAAAATGTGATATTCTTATGAAACAGAATGGGCTAAATTAGTGTGGAGTTCCTTTTCAGGTCTTGGGGGAAAATTCTCATCTCTGTGGAGATGTCATTTCATTGGGGAAGCTGAAAAATAATAATAAAAAAAAGGAGAGTGTTAAGCTTTGCAATCTGAGAGAGAGGGAGGAGGGGTGTAAAGAATGAAGATCCATTTTGTCTGCTTGTTTCTGATCAGTGAAAATTGAAAATATTAAACTATAAATGCCACGTGGGCATTTACTTTAGGGAAGTGTGTGTGAGGGCTGCCTGCTACACAGATGCTCCTGTGTGGGGCTGGTGAGTAGCAGGGGCTAAATTTCTCCCCCTCACAAATGACAGGGCCTCAGGCTGCTTCTCAGGAAGAATGATTAGGGTGGCACATTCTCTGACCTCCACAGGCGGATTTACCTGATGTTGTGTGAGTTGCTTCCTTCTGGAAAATACCGGGTGACCCTTCTTGGCAATGATCTGATAGAGTAACAGAAGGCCAGCATCAACTTCCTGCAGTGATGACAGAGGAACCTTTAAAAGTGTCTTCTGATTCTTTCCCCCAGCAATTTCAAGGATTATGTTGAACCTTAAATTAAAAAAAAAATACAAAAAAAAAAAAACCAAAAAAAACCAGACCTTACCCTCTCAGAGGAGTGGATGGGGGTAGGGTGGGAAGAGGTGGGGGGAGCCAGAGGTTGGGAGGGTGAGGAACTGGGATTGGTATGTAAAATAATTATTTTAAAAAGAAAAAAAAGGAAAAGAAAAAAAAATGTGTGTCTGTGTGTGTGTGTGTGTGTGTGTGAGCGAGAGAGAGCGAGAGAGAGAGAGAGAGAGAGAGAGAGAGAGAGAGAGGGAGAGCGCACATGTGTGTACAATATCATGCATATGCAATTGTCAAGGAAGACACTGGATTCCAAGGACCTGGTGTCACAGGCATTTGTGAGTCACCACACATGGGTACTGGGATATGAACTCAGTAGAGCAGAAGGTACTTTTCAGTGCTGAGCCATGTCTCCACCTCCACTGTTTAATTTTTGATGTTAAGAAGTCAGTTTACAGCCAGGCTTTGGTGGTGCATGTCTTTAATCCCAGCACTAGGGAGGCAGAGGCAGGCAGGTCTCTGTGAGTTCGAGGCCAACCTGGTCTACAGAGTGAGTTCCAGGACATCCTTCAAAGCTACACAGAGAAACCCTGTCTCGAAAAAGAAAAAAAAAAGAGTCAGTTTTCAGAGCTAGATTGATTAGTAAATAAATAGTATATGTTATCATTTCCTGGAGCTCTTGAGAACAATTGGGTTGCAAACACCATGCAGTAGTGCTGGGCTGTCAGTAGGTGGGATGGGGAGGAAATGGAAGTTACCATTGTTGTTGTTTGTGGTGGTGGTGTATGTAGGTATCTGTGTGGATTGCAGTCTGACCTCTGTCACATAGCTAATGGTACCGGCTATGCCCCTTATTAGAAAACATGGATTCTACTACATAATGTGTAGTGGTTTAAGTCGAGGACATGGTGTACAGTGATGAGAAGGACATTCATATCTGCTTCTAACTTGGGTGGAGGATGCTAGTGGGGATTTATTCATTGAGGAGATGACTGTGCTTTTTAACTGGATAGTGGTGAAGGTTGTATGTAGAAGGGGCTGACACTTCTACAGATTCATGTGTAAATCACAATAGCAACACCTTAAAATTGCTGCCTCAAAGCTGTGGAAGGGAAGCATGAAGTAGTATGACCTGATCTGGGGCTATGGCTTGTCCTGTAAGAAAAAGGTGGCCTGTGAGTGACCTGGTGCTCCCAGACAGTATGCAGTACCTACTTCAAGATGGCACAACAAAGTATGTTTCATGAAATTTGTTAATAAAAGTTGTTAAATCCATGAGAAAAAGCCTGTTTTTAATCTTTTATTTAGAGGTTTTCTGTGTAGATTAGGCTGCCCTTGAACTTGTAGTCGCTCTGCCTTAGTTTCCCAAGTGCCAACCTTACAGTGTGTATTGTAACACTTAGCTGAGAATGGGCATTTAAGACCCACAAGGAATGGTCTCTTGCAAACATTGTGTGTATCTTCATTGTGGCTCAGCCACACACTCCTAAGACATGGCTGGAAGCATGGAGTGCTCCCTGGTAACTGACACAAGCTTTCTTTACAGCCTGTATCTTTATAGTTCACAGTTTCCTGATAGTATAGGGCAGAGGTTCTCAACCTTCCTAATGTTGGGAACCTTTAATTCAATTCCTCATGTTTTAGTGACACTTAACCATAAAATTATTTCACTGCTACTTCATAGCTGTAATTTTGCTATTGTTATTAACTGTAGTGTGAATATCTGATATGTGGGATATCTGATACTTGACCCTGCCAGTGGAGTTTTGGCCCACCGGTTTAGAGCTGCTACCATAGGGGGTGTTAGGTTCAAGAATAGAAATCAGCATTTTCCATTCTCCCAGCATAATCTGCATGCTAACCTTGCAAGTCACAGCATAATTCCTTCCAGTTGTGCTCTTCTTCATGTTCTACTCTTAGAAGTCATTCCCATCTATTCAAGTGTTTCTATCCTAAAAAGAATGGCCTTTGACTGAAAACAGTGGAAGTTTCATCTGAGGTATGGATGGAATGGGGGCACACACCAACAGCCTTGAGCAGAGCCAGTGGATTCAGTGAGGTGGTGAAGTCTTCTGGAGAGCAAGCTGAGTTTTGCACAGGACACGAGGATGTGGCTTTATAGGTGGCATCTCAACAAGTCAGTATTTCTCTTGCTTTGGAGTAAAATTAAGTGTGTTCAGCTAGCTGTCCTTTAAACACAGCCAAGTCAGCTATTTCTCCCAGGGATTGATCAAGTGTGATGGTTGTTTTGTAAATGTTGACTATGAGGCTAGTCACCTACACAGTTCTAGGATTCTGAAGTTATTAAGGGACAGGCTCCTTCCTTCCTTCCTTCCTTCCTTCCTTCCTTCCTTCATTCATTCCTCCTGACTTCCTTCCTTCT